CAAGTAACTAATTTAGTTTCACGATAAAAATCTGTATTTCAGAAACGTAAGCTTCACAACTAACCTGTCTGAAGTTCATGAATACGTTTTGGGGCAGAACGGATTAACAATAAAGAAAGACTATAAAATCTCAATCTGCTCCTATCAATTACCAGTTTTTATGTGGCATATTCTTCTCTGAAATTCTTTTTTGAGTTTGAGGCCTTTGGCTCACCTCCAATGCATCCACACGAAAAGGACCATGGCAAAATGCTACGAGAAGGCACCACAATAAGTTTATAGTTTGTCAGCTAAGTTGGTGACCTACCATGCTCAATTACTCCATGCTGTAGCCTCATCTCTCTTTCTTGGCTGAAGTAAGTACAGTAAACGAGGAAGATCAGAGATGAAATTGAAAACAACATTTTGAATGTTACCTGTCTGTGCTACCCTGGTGAATTTTTTCAGAAGATTAAAACACTATAACTTCATACAAGTCTCCGTTCAAATATACTCAAATCTCGCAGATTTTCTATTAAAGGCGTGCAACGTTAAATAAAATGTTGCCAGTGTTTGAAAATAAAAGATGTTTCCATTATTAAAGACAAACAGACAGTTGATTTTGTGTATAGAGCTGCCAAAAAAGTCAAACAGAAATTCCCGATTACACATTCAAATGTGTGTTTTGGCGGCCTTCTACCTGCGCAACTGAAGATTTTTCATTTGATCGTAAAGTGTGGTTCTCTGAAAAAAACTTAAGTCGGTGACATTGAGTAGCTTCTCAACAAACTGACCGGAAGCGTGGGACGTCAAGCAAGGACCTATCTGTCAATCAAGGAAGTGAAGTGAGTGGTTAATTGTTAACGTTCTGTAAAATTATCAGAGATTTTATCACGTTTGTGTAGCAAGTTCTTCATCTTATTCTTGGCAGTTATTCTTAATCGAATATAAATTTTTCATTCAATAAAAGAACGAGGAAAGTTCCGTTTATGTATGAAATATTATGCTGATAATATGTTTTTGGAATTGGCCAAATGTGCATGACCAATATTGAAATTTTTGATCTTAATGCTCCTACTTTTACAAATACGCGATTCCATTTAATATTTGATTTCAAAATTTCAAAGATGGAATACTGATGTAAGTCAAACAAACTGTTGTGTGACATTTACACAATTAAAACAAGTTAATTCAACGCAATTGTCTTGATCAAAGCACTGTTGAGAAAACTTTCGATCATGGAAACAAAGAGCGCGGTTATTAATAAAACCTTAATTCCCAACATTACCGCTTCTTTCCTTTGTTTACATTGTACTTTTAGCAGCAAAATGCCTCTTTATACACAGTGATCGATCGAATTTCTCTCGTGAGCCGAAGGAAGGGAGGGGGGGTGTACTTTCCACGATGGGTTTTAAATAGGGTTGCTTCACCCGAAAGAGGAGCCACATTCTGTAGGCGCTTTAAAATTTTTCCTTTAAGAAACAATGATAATGATGTCTTTATTATTTTTTCACAGGATAAAATTACACATCCTGTGCTACAAAACAGTTGTCTAAAGAATATATTCTCAAAACCACTAAAAGGCGAGCCAAAAATCGCCTCGTTAATCACATCTCCTACATTATATTTAAATGTTAGTCGTATTTACAAGGGAAGACAAAGGAAGAAATTGCACGCTTAGCATTGAGTTTCGGGTGCACACACTGTCTTGCATCAAAGACATGTTTTGGAAGAGAATTGGTAGTATCCGTGGGTAGAGGGAACAATTCTACCTTAGTTAGTGGCTCTACTATCCCCGCGCATGTCATGTATGCAACTCTTCATGTGACCGAAGCATCGTACGTGCAGTTTGTGCTTAGAACAAAAGACCTTGGGATATTTACTTACCATCCAAACCTACTCATTAATAGTACTATGAACTTTTTGGACTTGGCCTATCTCACTTAACTTGCGATGATAAAAAAAAATGATCAACTACGCCCTTATAATAACTAATGTTCATTTAGTAACTAAAATACTTGACGTACACATAACAGTTCAGCTTATGGACTGTAAAGTATAACAACTGAAACAACGGCTGTCCAACGATCAGTATCATGAAAACCACTGTTGAAGAAAGAGGGTCGTCTATTCTGTTCACAAAGCGAGGAAGCTCGGAGACACGCTCATCGACAAGTACAAAATAGTACATAAGAACGACTAGGACGTATGTTAATGAAAACACATACGAATAAATAAAATGAAGCAATCTGATTGGTACAAAACTGAAAATTGCCTCAGCAACCATGAAAATAGTGATGGACAGGAACTTAGCAAATTCTAATACGTTAAATTGTTCTTCCAGTGTGACATAACAAAGGATGACAACTAATATGCTGTTTCCCACCAGAGTTTGTAAGACCCAGAGTACTGCATGGTAACACGGTAATCTTTCTTCGCGACGCGGGAGTTCTCTGTGCGACTCGTCTTCCTCGTTTGCGGTCCATAACAGCTCGGATTCATTGTCGCGTTCATCTTCAGCAAAGTAGCTTTTTTCTGTTTTCTTAGTGATTTCTTTGTTCTCTTCACCTTTGCATGTTTTAACAGCGTAGTAGATCAGGAGGAATGTGGCGAGAACGAAATATAGGCAACTTAACGAGATACTCCAGTTATCCAACTGCAACAACCATAAATAGCTAGGCGTGGCAAACGTGCTTTCCACAGTGATAATCACAGACCACGCGGTAATAACCAGACGATATATGATAAACAACGATGGTGGAAACCACTGGAAAAGATTCAAGAAAATGAATTGTTATTGCAAATTGAAACTTTCTGTATAAAACTAAAGGAATATTGTCCTCTAGCTACCGCAGGTTTACATTCTCGACAACAATTGTCGAGAATGTAAAAGAATCCGAAGAGCTGTCAGGTCGCAGGTCTGCCAGAGACACCTCGTTTCCTTTCATTTTACGTCAAACTGTAAGGATCTCTGATTGGTTCAAAGGCGAGCGGGGAATCTGACACACAAGAGGCATGCCAAAGCGCATAGAAATCATTCAAGCGTGATAAAAACATCCATTTCTTTCCTGCGCTATCGTCTGCATCTTTATGGCTTTCCAGTGATAAGATTAGTTATTCGGTTGCCTATGACGTGTGTTCGAATTTGCTTAAAAAAAAGAAAGAATTGAAGAGTGGAAAAAAGATTACTTTCCGTTCCTGGAGAATTTTCGGCTCTCTTTGTCTTGAACATTATCGAGAACAATGAAAGAAATCACATGCACAAATAAATCAGTAGAAATGTCGAAGGCTGTCTTGATTTCTTCGAGATTCGGTTAGACTACATCAGCATACGAATTTAATAAAACAGCGGGCCTGAAAAATACTCTCGACCAAAAGATTTCGAACTACGCAGCTTAAGGTTATTGGAAGGATTTTATGTAAATTTCCAGTTTTAGAACATTCTATACTAGCCTAGTAAACTAGAAGGTGAGAATCAGGGAATGTCACCAAATTGTCGATTGAAACAAGAATTCCTCGACCGCTGAAAATACTTCGCTGAATGAATTACCGAACACCTGATCAGAAAGAATGCGTGTCTAAAACATTTGCAGTCAACAATTCCCTCAAAGCTACAACCCAAGGGACATACTCACAGTCTGGAATCTCTATCTTTACTTTACTCACTATGGATAGTGCACTAATTGAACTAAAAATCTGACAATTCGTTTTTAAAAGCAAACTGTAAAAGGGAAATAGAGAGCATATCAAAACTTTTTAAATAATTGTGGAGTCCACACTGAACAATCCTGAAACCTCCCTGATGTAATTAAAATCGATTTCGCTTTTAAGTTGCATGCAATTGTTTGTCTGTTTTCAACCTACTGTACAAACTTACCGGTGATTCGGCAAATAGCTCTGGACTTGAAAACCACAGGAAAAGGCTTTTGACTCGAAATTCCTCAGTCAATACAATTCTTAACCACTTTCTGAAGTCAGCCATCGTTGGGAGTTTCTAGTTAAATAAATTATTGAAGCGTTGATGTTCACGTTATGCATATTAGGATGAAGATTGGCAGGGAGATTGAAAGTTGATAAAAGAACTCTACGCTCGACTGAAGTCAACACAAACGAGACTCGGGAACTCATGAGAGAAAAAAAGAATATTTAATTAGCGGTCTTTTAACTAACTTGGCAGCTGAAAGCCATATCTATACGTTGAAATCGAGAAATTTCGTCTAGGTTTACTCATGAAAGGAGTCTTGTAACTTTGTAGACGTTTACCGACGAAGACTAATTTTGTCACAGACTTTGCCGCGTTAAATTCCCAGCTGTTCAGTTTAAATACCCTTCAAATGCTCAAGCTTGAATGAGCATTCAGTTTACATTGTTAGCGCTTGAAAGATCATTAAGTTATGGATTCCCGCCCAAAGGTAAAATATGCAGATTAGCTTCAGACTTAATAAACCCAAAGTATGTTCTCTCTGACGTTAGAGGACGTTGCTTTGAAGTAGTTCGGTATGGGATGTTGTAAAGCCCTTGGGGAAGAATGTGGGATACGAAAACTTGGATTACGATACAATGACTCCAGAGCTTTCACTGATGCTCCGGTAAGTTAGTTTTCTTAGTTATAAGCTCATTTTCAAAGGCTTTCAGGAATTAGTTAAGTGGGGCAAAGTTAAGCGCACTCAACGAAATGTTAAAATGAGCGGAAGTCATGAACTGAGGTGCGATTTGAAAACAAAATTTTTACTTCTTTTCGCCGCAACTAAACGTGCCAGAATTCTTACGACATTCATCAAGATGAATCTGGGCTCTCCGTTTAAGAGAATTTCAGTGTTTGTGTTTTAGATATACTGACTTACAATGATGGCTAAACTTCGCTTTAGTAATCTCAATTTTCGCACCATAAGGACAAAATAGCCGCAGGTGGTATGATCTCGAAAGTTAAATAATAGAAAATTGAACTAAAAAATGAGTTGAACAAATAGATTTTCATACTCCATGTTAGGTGGCTTACAAAGTTGTGTTGCCTCGACCTTTTCGAGAACTATTCTGAGGATTTGCATACATAATAATAATAATAATAATAATTAATTAGATTTGTTTGTGGCGTCGAAAACGTGAAAATTTTCATCGGAACAGGTCAAAATGCGATCGATCCGTAAGGATAAAGCTTTTATCTCGACGAATATACTTTTTGCGGACAAATGGGAAAGAATTCCGTGACCGAACGTTAATCAGTTTTCTCCAGGAAAACGCGGTAATTTTATTCAGTTGCATCATGATTTTATGGTTGGCTTGCCTTGAATAATAGGTCCCTCATGCTTCAATTCTCTTCATTAGTAAAAGAATTTAAAATGTCTTTCTTACCCACTGCGCTTAAAACCGTTGGATGCGTTCTGTCTTGTTATGTCGCTTCACGAAGCTTCTTAAAAGCTAACCTTTAAAAGTCTCCTCAAACGTTTCAACTGTTGACTCAGTAAACATGGAGTAGTGAGTGAATATTCGATTTAACTGGTTTGAAGAACAAAATGCCCTCACGCAATTAAAATGTTTTCCTTCCTTTCGGCACTTCACTTAGGCAGAGTTTCTAAAAATAAAAATAGCTGCCCTTTAAGTTTGTTGTTCTCTTCGATTTCAAAATTTCGTGTTATGAAACAGTTCAGATCAACTTTAAAAAAATTGCGCGCTGCCTTAAGGGTGCATGGAAGTCTAGCTGGGCTTGAGTCCAAATGCGTCAAAACAATGCATGCACCTTTGTCCAAAGTCCTTAGAATAGTTCTAATTTTAGTGACAGAACACGCGCTTGCCATCGATTTCCTGCCGTGGTAATCAAAACGCAATGTTTGAATAACACATGCAGAGAAACGTTTGAAAATTACGAGCCGAAAACGACAAAAGCAAAAGCTCGTCCAGATAATGTTCTGTGAGGTTTTTTGAGATTTCTTTGGGTTTACTTCTACTGAGCGGCAAACAATGGACCATTTAATGCGTAAAATGAGTTCTTTTAAACAGAAGAGTGATTGAATTTTTTAGCGAGAACCTCTGTCATCTCTTTACAAAACTTTTTGTTTATTTGTTTTTCATTCTTAAAAGCGTCAAGAGCAATAATTTGGTTGGGAAGAAAATGCATATCAGTTATGAAACGATATAGGAAATGAGTTTAGACGCGAGATTCGACGGGGATTTATTGTTCTCTTGATATAAGACATTTTCGGCGACTTATTTTACGAAGTAACCTGTTCTTTATTACTGAAAGGCCTCAGCACAAATGTTCAATTCGGGTACCTATTGTCCTTATTGACTTAAAGGGAGGGCCGAACGGGAAAAAATGTTTGGTCCAAAATCTTGGCTGAGAACCAAATATGTTCCCTCCGGCCCGACCACACAATCAAAAAGTACTTCATTATAATTGTGACCACCAAACCTTTAAAATTGTGGAACTATGTAACGGAAGGCTGCGCGCTGTACTATAGCAGAAAAGATTCTTCAAACTTTTCATTTATTTTATCGCCGTGACAGAACAAGAATCTCACAATTCATCGAACACAACAGCAGTGAACATTTTTTCCCGATAACATTTATTCGAAACAGAGCCTCGTTAGCGTGGCGTAGGATAGATTTTTGAAGATCGGTTTACGTCAAACCATCAGCTTCCATTTTGGTTTTTTCTACAGAAGTGCGTGAGCGGGGTGATATTGGTCTTGTGATAAAAAAGAAAAGTTTCTTTCACTATCAACACCTCTTGAACGCTTTTATACCAGTTTGGTTCACATTTTGTTTTCTTATGATATTTGTGCAAGAACATGCACAGAACCACAAACGCAATATTCTGAAATTATTCATATAACTTTGAAGAAAGAGATTTGAATTTGATAAATGACATTCATCATAGTATCCCTTGCTTAATTTTCTGATCAAAAATCTATTTCAGCAGTTTTCCATGATTCCATAGTCAACATTCATATTCCGAGAGTTTCCGGACCTAGACAGTAATGAAAACGAGATCCAGAACTGTCTTTTTACGTTTTTGTTTTTTTTTCTTGCACACAGGGCCTACCAAGACCACTGTTCGCCTTCCTCCGCTTAATCTACGCTGCTCTGGCGGTAGCCGACCTGGTCTGGATCGGCCTGGATGATCCGAGCGGAACCTGGGTCATTCATTTGCAGAATTGGAGTCGAGTGGTGACCGCGTTATATTTCCTGACTGGTTCACTAACCGCATTCCATCGTTCGGCATGCGGATCCAAAGAGAACGATAGCTACGACATAATCCATTCGGATTTTCCAGATCACACTGGCGATTCGAATTCTTGCGCTTTAAAACCGGGCGAAAAAGACGAAAGCATTGAAGTGGATCCATATGAAAACCATCTCTCATGGCATCACGAGGTGCTCTGGGTCCTACACACCCTCGCTTCCAACAGCACTTTCGTCTGCACGGTTGCGTACTTCGCCTTTTTCTTTGACGAGCGTTCCTCCTATGTTTGGATCTTCTACATACCCAGGCACTCTCTCTACGTGTTCCTGATGATTGTCGACACACTGGCCAGTTACATTCCCGTGAGGCTGTTGCACGTCGTGTATGCCTACATATTCGGTGCCGCATACGTTATGTTCACTCTTGTGTTCATCTTAACGGAAGTGAAGGTCGATCTGCGTCTGAATCCCAGCATGTATCCTTCACTGGAGTCTGGTGATGAGCCACTGATCTACACAGCATACCTATCAATATTCTTAATTGCTGGCTTTCCTGTGGCTCAAATAATCTACTTTCTCATTCATAAATTCCGCACTTGGTATATTTCAAGATGAATAATTATTTGACAGAACTGTTAAATTCTGGACGAAGATTTCTCTCTTTAAGCTCTTTGATAGTTTGATCCAAAATCAGTAAATTAGGCAATTAAGCAAGTACTTCAATTTAGGAAAGCGAGGCTGGTGTATGTCATAAAGAAAACAAAAGCAATTTGGAATATATTACATTTCAGCATTTAGAAAGACATACTTCTTGTACAGATTTCTTATCAAGCTTGATTTTGGACTGTGACACTTCTTATAACAGATGATGCACTCTCAGTTATTTAAACAAATATGTGCTTCATAAGTGGTCCAGGCAACGGATGAAATAAAAAAAACTTAACATCAATAGAGATTGCTTTCAACCCTCTTCACTCTAACGTTAGTATTTATGTTCTCCTCTCTGTTCTCTTTATATTTCCTTTGGTCATGACAAGGAGAATTTGTTTAACAATCTGGAGCTTATTGGATTGGTGATCATCTCCATTATTCTCATGACCTTTCATTTGATCTAAGAGTAATACTGTGAAGAGAATTTATAAACCAGTCACCTTTAGGGCTCAACAGATTACGTGAACAGGGATCATTAAAGTGTGAAAAAGGTACAGGGTAGGTTCTATACCCCTTACTTGTCAACATTTCCCAACTAGTTATCTCCCACAACAAGATATACTCAACTAGGATAAGTTCAACCTTTTTATTTGCTTTTTTAATAATTTTTCTCAAACACGTTACTTACACAGATGAAGAAAGGTTTAATTTTACTGAAGTAAAATGCTACAATATGCCCAAATTAAGTATTAGCAAGAGAAATAAACCAGGCTTTAAGATTTTTTCTACTTAAAAACCAAAGTGACGAAAACAGGCTATCAATATAAAGGAAAATTATCTTGAAGTGTCCATATGAGCTTAAAGCAAAACCACATGCCCATGTTATTTAATTCAAGTGCAGGAAAACGCATGTGACCAAGTAACTGTTAGGTTGAGATCTCTCTGATTGGTTGAAAGGTTGGCAAGAGCTTTATAGACCAATCAAAAGGTGGCAAAGCAAAAACAATGGAATCATGGATCATTTTTTACTTTCAACTGAAAATTTCACAATTTCGTCTTTGTCTTTGGTGTTTAAAATAACTTTGCGCTTATTTGCTACTCTTTAAATTCTAACAATGAAAAATCAGAATGGAAGAAGCTTAAGTTTTGAAATCAAACCTGCTGCCTAATGCAAGGCCGGGTAGCCAAGGTCCTTAATTTGCCAAAAACTATTTTCCAGAGCAGGCCTTTTGCCACCCCTGTAAATACCTTCTCTTCTTTCTTTTCTTTCTTTACTGTACGTTTTGCCAGACTTCCATTCCTATTATTTTTGTATCACCAAATTACATTATGTAAACATGACAACAATTAAGGCACTACTAACAGATTGTGTAATGTCTAACAGATTCTACATTTGTGGTGATGCAATTTTATTTGACAGAAATCCAACTGCTGTTAAATAATTTCTGGCCAATGTTGTTAAACTACATATTATTCAAACTAAACTAGACTCTGATTTTGAAGTCAATTAAAACTTTATCCTAACTTTATTTTTAATAGCAAACCTACAACAATTTATTCCACAATAAAGGAAATAGCCTCTAACTGGGCACTGTGCCATTCACAACTGCATTTAATAAATGAACTGATAACTCTATAACAGGCATTTTGAAACTGGAGTAAAAAAAATTATTCTTGAAGTTTTTTAAGTGAGTTTACAGCTTAGGATTGGCAAAACACAGACTACAGCCTAAACAAAGATATTAGTTGCATAATAAGCTGACAGACTTGCTTGCTTAATTGCTGTACCATAAATAAGTGGCCAGAGTTTTCAGCAAACTGATTTCAAAATGTTGTTGAAGGGAAATCATCAGACAAAAGTGTACAATATTTTGTGTATAAAAAACTTTTGAGGTTTCCTTTTGGAACATTTACTTAGTGAGTTCATTTGAGAGCCAATCCAGTCCTTCATACAGCCCTGTTCCCTGAGTTGCACATGTGCCTTGGACATACCACTAAAAATACAAGAAAATATGTTGATAGACTGTGTAAACTGACCAATCATGACCAACTTATGCCACTTGAGTCCTATAGCCAAAAATTACAGCAAAATTCATACTAACCTTTCTTGATTTGACACTGTGGAGTCCTAGCTTTTCTGTTATTTCCGAGGTAGTGTAAGCATTTGGCAAGTCCTGCTTATTTGCAAACACCAGTAGTATAGCATCAGACAATTCCTCTTCCTGAAGCTGTGTAGATATGAACAACAATTTATGTTAACCAGAGCCAAATCGTTAACAAATAAATCATTACCAGTCAATATCTACATGAAGATACAAAGGATTGATACTGCTTCTGCACATCAGATGAACCCAGTGTGTTGACTAGTCCAAAAAATGTAACTCCTTGGAATTCCAATAAAACTGTATCTCAGGCAACATGTCAGGTAAATTTGAATTGGTAATGGCTTACCATTTTTTGTAGTTCATCATTAGCTTCGGCTATTCTTTCCCTGTCATTACTGTCCACAACAAATATCAGTCCCTGGAAGATTAAAAACAAATAAAACAAGAATATCATTATTAATACCTTTTGAGGCTGTTTTTCTTGGATAACAAGTGTTTCAAACTAATTTGATTTTTGCTTTTGTGAACCATCATAAAAAAAGTGAAAAGGAAAATATCCTCCAACAGGTTGATTGAAGTGGATTGCTCTGTGGAAATGCTGAAGCTCAGTAAGTCAACTTTGCAAATTTTGTTTATCCCTTCAGCAACTTACAGTTGATAACCAAAAAGATTGTTTCATTTTGAAGGGATAATGTTGGATAATCCAGCCAACAAATTTCCACAATAACAAAATTCCTCCCACCAGCTAGAGTTCATTTTTCTACATGACAATTTGTCATCTACCCATTGAATAGCTGGGCCAGATGAACACAAATCAATATGGGTATTGAGCCAGAATCTTCACCTGTGTGTTTGTGAAGTAGTGTCTCCACAAAGGCCGAATCTTGTCTTGG